CAGAATGGCTATCATTAATAAATCAACAAACAACAAGTGCTGGGGATGATGTGGAGAAAGGGAAACCCTTCAGCACTGTTGGTGGGAATGCAGACTGGTGCAGCCACTGTGGAAAGCTGTATGGAGATTCCTCAAAAAATTAAAATGGATCTGCCTTTTGATCCAGCGATCCCACTTCTGGGAATATATTCGAAGGAACCCAAAACACATTCGAAAGAGCATAGGCATCCCAATGTTCATTGCTGCATTACTTAAAATCACTAAGATATGGAAACAGCCCAAATGTTGATCAGTGGATGAATGGATAAAACAACTATGAACATTTACAGAATGGAATACTACTCAGTCTAAAAAAAAGAATAAAATTTTAGCCTTTGCAACAGTTATGGATGGACCTGGAGAACATTATGCTAAGTGACATATGTCAGTCAGAGAAAGACAAATACAACATGATTTCACTCATATGTGGAATCTAATAAACAAACTGAACTAACAAGGAAAATGAGGACAGGCTCATAGAAGGAAATCACAGTGACAGTTGGAGGTAAGGGGATAGAGGGATTGAGCAAAAAGGAAAAATGACTCATGGACATGGACAACAGTGTAGTGATTGCTGGAGTGAAGAGGTATAAGAGGACTATGGTACTGGAAAAAAATATAATAAAGATTAAATCAAAAAATAAAGTAGACATTGGCAAACAAACAAACAAAAAGATGTAAATCACAGTTTGATATTGTCAGACAATCCTAAATGTCCATAATATTCAGTGGTGTCCTTGTTAGCAGTATTTTAACCATAATAAGTAGAACATTATGGGCCTGAGCACAAATAGTTATATATTGTCCTAACTCTAGCCAAATGTTTTTCTTAAATATTTTTAACCAAAGTTCTCCAAACAAAAGTTATGATGGAAAATATCAATGATTTTTTAATTCAACTCCTAAAAACTTTTAGTTTTATTTAAGAAACAAGTGCCATCTCCATAGCGTACTTTTCCTCTCTAATATAATGTTATTTTTGCATTAGTTGGGGTGATATACAATAGTAATTTTTAAAATTCTGAACTACTAACTGCACCTGCTTAGGATCTAAAACTGAAATGGAAAACACAAGGCTTAACCCCACATGCTCCCTGATCAAATGCAAAGGTTCTTAAAATAGCTTCGTGTGAAGATGTTCAAAGCAGCTGAAAACCAAGATGTTGGTGTCCCTAGTCACAACCTGGTAGTTTAATACCATGGCTCTACGGCAGCTGCCTCTGTCTCTTTGTTTGCAGGCCAAGAGCAGCAACGCAAAGAAGCACAGAAGCAGCCTCTGCTTGGTCCACCTTGCTCTTCTCCCCTGAAGTCTACTTTTCTGGTCAAGGGATTATCCCTAGACCCATTATGAAGACCTAAGACATTCATGTTAAGCCACCAACACAAGATGAAAAAAAGCTTAAAATCTCCAATTACAGCAAACTTTAAGTAAATACTCAATAAATTCCAGGGAAAATGCAAGGAAGAAATGAAGTCTTGTGTGTTTGATTAGTCATTTCTAGTGACATAGTACTATGTCTGATATCCTACACACTGTTACTCTCACTATCTTAGTTACCAGATGATCAGTGTACTCTCTCAAAATCTATCAAAAAGGCCTCCTTCATCCACTTAAGACTGCTCTGTTCAGCTCTGCCTATCTTGATATTGCTCTTGGTTAACCATGCTTACCATTTTTCCACATAGAGAATTGTTTTTCCTATGCTCTTCTCTCTTGCCCATGATGCACTGCTCTCTGACCCAAGGACCCACTTATGCTTCCACCAGAAGCAGGATCAAAACTGGGTGACAGCTGGTCTGATCTGATGAAACAGTGTTTTATGTTGCCATGCCAGTGGTAGCACTAACCAGCAATTTAGAATTGCATTTGCATTCACATACAGGTGAATATACTAACATACTATATCATTTCTGTGCCCTCTCCCCACCAACCAAAAAAAAGGAAAAGGCAGTAGCTTTTATCTGTTTTAATGGCTAACCTGATTTTTTAAGGGCCAGTGGAATGAACTATAGGATGAGTACCTAGAAGGGAAATGGAGACAGGAAGAAGATGGGGTGTGGGGGGAGGCCTGAAACATTCCTCTTATGGCACAGTTTCCAGTATCTGCCACCTTCAAGCAGCTGGTGGGAGCCGTGAGTACTCATGTTGAAAACTCAGAATTTTTCTAGTCTTTCATTTGAGGAATTACTTAATGAGACTGTGCATCAGAAAGAAAGTAACTGGGCTAGTCTCTTAAACATGTAAAACCTAGTTTTTCCACCTGCTGAACATGGAATAATACCTGCCTTCCTTCTGTGCAGGGTCACCGTAGGATCAGGTGAGTGACTGATACTGAAATTTATAAACAATGTAAAACACTTCATAGGTATAAAATGGCATTGTTGTTGTGATTAATGCCATCATAAAGAAGTATCCTCAACCAAATACTGCCACTCTTTCAGATGTAGCCTCCAGTGACTAATTTTGTCAGACAGATTAGACAGAAACATCTTGAATTTCTGTCACATTTGAACCCCAGGTAGCTATGAGATTATAGTGCAAATTTTATTCTAATGTCTTCTTTAGGGACTTCCTGTCTGGCCCAATTCTAAAAGAACAACCAATCAGTATGTGAGCCTTTGTGTAGTTTAGATCAGCAGAAATGTCAACATCCTTCAAAGAAGGCTCAGGTACTTGCACTAAAATGTGTATTTGAACTTAATTGTTTCATTATTTGGTCTGTAACATTGTCTCCATATCTCTTGCCTTCAAGAATCTTCCCTTCAGTTTAAAAAACTGAATATACTAAATAACCTTAATAAAGTAGGAAAAATAATTTTGGGGGATGAACTTAACTTTTCTTTTAATCAGAAATGAGGGAGAAAACACTTAAATGGTAAACAATAGAAATAATATATAAGTTCAAATCACTAGTAATTTGCACCTCTGTAAAGATTCCTACACTTGGCATATAGAAACCATATTTGTCTCATTCATTGCACATGCTAGGCACTCTCAAACATTTGCTGAATGAATAAACAAATGAGAAAACAAATTAAGCCCTTTACTGTAAAAGTGCTTCCCTATATTATAATGAAACAGAAAAAAAACCTATTCTGTGCTCATCATAAAGGGTTGGTTATTAAATGCTGGATGGTCAGTAGTTCCTATCCTAAAGCAAATAGAAGCGACTTACATTTTAAAAAATGTTTTGTAATGCAGCATTTTAGAGAAGCAAGGTATGAATGTCATTGGTAATGAAAATTTTGTTTTAAGTTAAAACAAAGAATAATGTGGACTCTATTCTGAAGAGAGAATACAGGGCTCTTTACTTTTAGTCTTTTCCCATCCTTTGAACTCTTTTTAAAAATTATACTTCTTTGTTTATAATCAATACTTTGCTTTGCCCCAGAATTTTTACAAGGTATCTAATGCATTGGTTATCGTAAAAACCCAAACCCACGTTGCCTTGGGAAATTACTTGGAAAACTCTCATCAAGACTAGACCTGTCTTAGTTGCCCTACATATTTGTTTTAAAGAAGTGGGAATAACCTGTGAACATTATCTGCCTTTAGAAATTTTTAAAAGCAAACACCTCTTAAAGTATTTATGCTAATTTTTAATTAAGTATAATGAGAGTTTCCTAATAGTATCAGTTGGTACTGTAGAGGTATATTTACTTGGAATATTTGTTTTGGAGGGATAATTGATCAACTCAGAGATATTGAGTTCAAGATCAGACCACTGCATTAAAGCGAGTATCACACTAAAGTGAGTCTTAGTCTTTTTGCTGGTGGAGAATCTTGCCTTCAGTTTAAAAAACAAAACAAAACAAAAACAAAAACCATAGTATCTGTGAAGTGCAATAGAGCAGAGCACAATCAAATGAGGTATGCCTGTATACTGGAACGTGCCATCACAGGAAAAGCATTTTTTTTTTGTCGGACCTAGAGGAGCATTGCCTTAACTTAGAGAGCTCTCCAGTAGTACCATACTCTGCACGCTCCTTTATACAAACTTAATGCACACATAGAACATGATGAATGTATGGTATATGTATTGCACCTTTTGAAATCTTTGAAAACTTGCACAGATACTGAAAAAAAAAGATATGTGATCATCTGTCATTATAAAAGAAATAATAATTATGTCAAGCTTTTTAGCTGATATATTTATATTCTCTGTCAATTGGTGCTCCAGTATTCAAAACTATTCAGTAGCCCTAAACATTGACTAATACTCCCATTGAGCAAGTACAGTGAGCAGAACTTTTTCTGGTATTATTTGGCAGCAATTCAGCATCGTTTCCTATTGACCTTGAGATGTGATGTGCAATGGAGATCCAATTATGTTCTTTGAGGTGGTAGGTAACCCCCGAAGACCTTCCAAAATCCCTACCTCAAAAATGTGCTACTGTTTTCTGGCTCCAATTCATCACATCTTAGTATCAAAGAAGTATGAACAAAAGTAAAGAAAAAAGAATGCAATCTAGTTGCCATTTTAAGATGTTAGTTTCTTCTGTCTTTCCATGAAAAGAGAATTCTTCCTCTCCAATCTAGCCTATCTAGTATAATTCTCTTATTTTCATCACATCATGATGGTTTTGAAATTATATATTGATCATTCACATCAGCTTATAAAATCCAGCTATTAACAAGGAAAGATATTTGCCTGAACCATTTTTTAAATTTTTAACCGTTTGTCTTACTCTTTAAGAGGATAATAATTTAAATTTTCATTCTGTTTTACTTTCATGGCTACCATTTTAGCAAAACTTATTGTCTGAATAGTCCTATTTTGCAAGCAGCTCTTACTCATATTAGTCTAAAAGTCATCATCATTATAAGCTCTTAATTGTACCTAAGATAACCACATCCCTTTGCATAATATCCAGAATATCATGGTGTTGGCAATTCCCAGATGTTGGATTACACAGAAACATCCCCAAAGCCCCTCCTCAGCAGCAATAGGGGCACTTACCTTACCGTACAGGCACCTTTGCTTGACCACGCCTGGCAGTCCTCTCTTCTCATTCCCACCAAAATCCAGCAGTGGAATCCAAGACCAACACCAATGTTTTCTTCTCTTCTTTTTGGACACTCTCTCGGTTTTTGTCCTGTGAACTTCAAAGCCACTGAAAATTTGCAACCAGGGGCCACTGACAGTTCTATAAAGGACAGGCAGTGGGGAGCCCAACACTGTTTGGGCCCAAACTCTAAATATAACCCTCTTCACTCGCTGGGCAGCGCCCTTCATACTCTGAAGACAGGCAACCTTGCAGAGTCTCTCACCCCCCGGCTTGCCAGTCTCCACCGAAGAAAGGGTCTCACTGGACTGTGCTTCAGAATGAGGCGACCCAAAAGCCAGGAGCCATCTGTTCAGCACAGACAAGTAGAGGCAGGTATAGGCTCTGTGAGTATGTCTGTGTGTGTGTGTTTGCATGCCTGGGCCCAGCAGCTGTTCTCCAGTTTAGAAGACACCACTCTTTGGCAGGGAGCTCTGAAACACCCTCTTGGGTAATTTCAAATTCATGTGCACATCTTGGCTGAGAGCAGAAACTTCCCAGTCACAACCTGGGTCTCCTCTGCCCTGTCACTGCCCCAAATACACTGTGAGCCACAAACCCAGCATCTTAGGAACGGATGCCCTGATGGACATTAAATCGCACCTCATTTTGTACCCTGCAACCATGAACCGATGCAAGCCTTGTTTGAGATTGAAGTAACAAGGGCATGACCTCTTCTTTGACAGTCATAACCCAAGGCACTGTAGAGATTCGCTATTATTAACACTGTGTTGAACTTTCACTTGAATGCCTGCCTGTTCCATTCAGTGTCACATGAGACGTGAGTACAAAGTGCTGAGCAAACTTTGGAGCAACAGCCAAATGTGTGGTGGTATTTTTTATTATTCAAGTTTTTGTTTTATATTATTCAGTTGTTAAGAGAAATTTCACACATACATTGCTAAAATTTGAATAGTGTACTTTTTGCTAAGTGGTATTGGTCCAGTTGGAGCGGAAGGGGCAGGAATAAGGAACTTGTTCATTTTTTCAGCAAGTATGTATTGCGTCATTCATTGGATATCACGTCCTCTACCAGATAAACCTACACTGACCAGTGCTCAATCTATGCATTATCTTATTTAATCCTCACAGCATTCCTTTAAATTAGTCCTATATTGGTGATGAAATAAGGAAACCGGAGCTCAGAATAATTAAGTGATTTCCCTGGGGTCTCATGGATAATAAATATTAGACTGAGAATTCAAAATTGGATCTGAATCACACCAAAACCCATGCTCATTATTTTCAACTCTTACCACTGAAATAATTTAAAACTTACAGAAAATATATAAAAATAGCACAGAATTCCCATATACTCTTCACTCAGGTTCTCCAATTTTTAACATTTTTACCACATTTACTTTCTCCTTTTCTTCCATCCCTTCCCCTCCCTCTCTTCTCCACTTGCTCTCCCACTTACCCCTGCCCCCTTGTGAGTGTGCATGTGTATGTGTGTGTGTTTATATTTTCCTGAATCAATTTATTTATTTTAGGGTTACTATTCTAAAATATAAGTGCAGTCTTCTACATAACCACAGTCAAATTCAGTAAATTAACACTGATAGAACATTAACTTCCAATGCATGGTTCCCATCCAACTTTTTGCCAACATAATAATAATAGTATCTTTTATATTATACTGGTATATTGGTCAATAATAATATCTTTTATAGGGGAAAAATTATTTTTTCCTTTGGTCCTGGATTATATGTTACATTTAGTTGTCATGGGGCTCCTTGAATCTTAAACAGTTCTGCAGCTTTTCTGTGTCTTTTGTGACTTCACATTTTTGAAGAGTAAAATGTTCCTCAGTTTAGGGTCATGTGATGTCTCCTCATAATGAGACAGAGTTTATGCATTTTTTTTTTTGGCAGGAATACTATAGAAGCAATGCTATGTTTTTCATAGTTAATCATATCAGGAGACACATAAATGGAGATGGTCCATACCAACTCTACTTGGTTAAGGTGGTATCTGCCATATTTCTCCATTATAAAGTTAGTTTTTCCCTTTACAGTTAACGTTTTGTGGAAAGATACTTTGAGACTGTAAATATGGTTCTCCTAAATGAATTGTCTACTGCAAGGAAGAGCTTTCCCTTCTCTATTTATTTTTGGACTTATTTATATCGATGTGCACTTATGGATTCCTATTTTAATCAATGGGTTATAATCAGTTAATACCATTATTTATTTTGATGCCCAAATGAGCTCAGATTTGTTCAGTGGGAGCCCCTTCAAGCTGTATTCTTTTGACAAGTCCTCATCATTTCCTGAGTGCTTTCTTGCTTTCTAGCAAAAGAAAATATTCTATTTGCATCTTGCGCTTTCTCTACCCAGTCTTGGAATCAACTACATCTTCAAGAAGACCTGGGTCCATTATGGAAAATAGTATATGGAAATCAAGATCTGGGCATTGAATGTGCTCACTGAACTAGAATGTGCCCATTGCTTACAGGCCCTCTCAACCAAAAGAACTAGGAAATAGACACCCACATACACACACAGCCATGTATATTACTCTCTATCTGTATTAAATACAATGATTAATGCATATCGATAGCTCCAGTTCCAATCTAACACTATAGGAGCAGTCTAGCTGTTTACCCTTTCCGTGTTGGTAACTCTCCTACCCAACAGTGGTTTCTGTTATCCTCGGACTCTTACTTGCTCATTGCCCCTGTGTATAACCGGTCATCCCATCCTGCCATCTACTTTCCAGTCCTGACAATTTTCAGCTCCATTAGCCCTAATCCCTCAAGGAAAAGGAACAGATTCTCTAAAGGCTCATATTCCTGCCTACTCATGGGCAGCCAAGCAACCAAGAAGGGAAATATAAAGAAAAAAATATTCCTACTCCTTTAGTGGTCATTTTTTCATCGACTCTGAGCTTCTCCTCTGTGAAAGTTTTGCACTGAAGAAAGATCATATCTTAGTGCTGTTTGGGTACTAACATTCTGTGAGTCTTTCAACTGATTACTTGAAAATGATCCAGGAAAACCTAACCCTGTGTTTTTTGCTCGACACTTACTAACAGTTATTACTGCAGATGTCTGGAAAGAGATAAATAGTACTAGTTCTCGAAAATATTGTAAAGTTTATACTAATTTGTCCTTTTTGTTTGTTTTGATGAATTGTAAAAAGAAACGTGGGATTCTTGATAGCAGAGCTGGACCTCAGGACATCAAAGACAGTGCTGTCTAGACTTGCCTCACTTTTTCTTGACCCATATTCCAGATCCCATCCTTCCCAGTGCACTCCCCCCACCCAAGGTGGGTTATGTTCCTCCAGAGTATTCCCAAGGCACCCAGAGCTTAACCATGCCATACCCTCAGTCTCACTTTGTTGCATTTGCTTAACATACTGACCTCTCCCCTAATGGACTGGGAGCTCCCGGAGCGCAGAGTGCACTTGCCAACACTGTGGCCCCAGCCCCTAGCACAGCCAGTGCACAATAAACGTGTAATGACTAGAGGAAGCATCACTGGTCACTTTAACCAAGGAGGACAAAGGAAAGAAGCGACCCTAGAGGAAAACAGTTTTGGAACAGCATCTCAGTCTGTTCCAAAAAGGTAAAGAAATAAGAAAAACGCACATATTAAACCAATCAGTCATTTTTAAATTCCAGGCTTTTAAACTTTTTTCCTAACAGACATTTTACCAGCAGCAAAATTGACAGATTTAAATGTCACATATTATCCTCTCCTTCACATTCCCTAAGGATGGGATTAATGACCTATACATAAAAGGTCTAGATAATCCACAAAATAGAAAAGTATCTCCAAATAAACAAGTATGTTTAGGAAAACCTGGTGTGATTAGGCGTGCCGCTCTCTTCCTTCAAAACCAACCTGTACACAATTGTTTTGGAATTTTACATACTTTGGGATTTCATATTTTTCTCAAATGAAAATGACACTAACAGTTTAACTTTAAGGGAGAGAAAGAGAGATAGAGATAGATGAAGAAAACATATTTTTGACCTTGGAATCTGGTTGTTGCAAATAATTTGTACTCTTCAGTTTCCAGGGGCTATTTCTTCATATACTTCAAGAATGCCAAAATACCAGGTGACAGCTGTTTAAGCTCTGAGACAGTCCTCAAGTGTCCTATTTTGATGTCATTATGTAATGCTTTTCTCTTGGCATAGCTATCATCACTCAATAGCTTTGTTAATATATATCATTGCATGACTTTCTTCATTTTTGTGTGTATATTACTTTTCCAAATGGGCACTGGTTCTCTGAAAACTTGAGAAAAAAAAGAGAGAAGGAATGATTCCAGCAACATCTCAAAATGGACCAACATTTTCTCCTTGGCTAGATGTTCCTTTGTGAACAGGAAAATATGAGTTAGAAGTCTTTCCCCCTTCTCAGCCCTACTTCTCTTAAAAATGTTAGTCCATTCTTGTCTTTTTCTTTCTAACTGCTTATCTTACCAAGAGATATTATATTTGCCTGACCCATGTGGCTCAGTTGGTTGGAGCATCATCCTGTGGACCAAAAGGTCATGGGTTCGATTACCAGTTGGGGCACATACAAGAAGGGAACCAATCAATGTTGCTGTCTTATACTGATGTCTCTCTCTACCCCCATCTCTCCCCTCACCTCTCTCTCTGTCTCTCTAAAAAAAAAAAAGGCTATGAAAAAATATCCTCTGGTGAGAATCTTTGAAGAGATATTTTATCAGCAAAGAAACTAATTTTTCAGCTCAAGCTTGCCTTAGTAACTATTGTCTCTGAGAGCCTAAAGGACAGATATATACATCCATAGGTACACAATTTTCAGTTCACTTCAACAGATATTTACTGAGTAACCTCAATATCCCACATGCTATGCAAGGTCTTGGTGCTACACAGATAAAATGTTACATCGTCCGTGCTCCTCAAAAACAGTCTAGTAGGATATCACAATTCTGTTTGTAATGGGCTGGTGATATAACATAAGGCCAAACGTAATTCTGTCTGAGTGTACCTGAGCTGAGCAGAGCGGGGAAGCTGCACAGGGTGCACAGGGTGGGGGTGGGGTCGAAATATTTAAACTGGACACCTTGGGGGAGGAATAGTGATTTCTGCCCTGGAAAGGGTACAGAGGACATTCTGACAGAAGACCTGATGTAAGCACGTGGCAGGAGAGCACATGATGTGTTCAGCAGCGGCAAGCACTCCTGTGCCAGAAGGTCAGGGATGTGGTGTCCAGCTTTGTACTAGGTAAAGTGCAATTTTTATTTGCTCCCAGAATGTTAAAGACCTTAGGTGCTTTGATGCTAGAAGTTGTAACTATACTCCATGGACAGTCGGGAACCACCAGAGGCATCTGGGCAGGAAATTATAGTCAAGGAGGTAAAGTGGGAAACGCATAACATTGGAACCCAATGACTTTTTGTGGGACACTGGAATGTTACACCTGAAAAGACAGTCAGGGCTCATCTAATATTAGCCTCTTGTTTTACTCATGAAAACTGTGTGACCTGGCTTTAAATTTCACACCTCTGGGTGCCCTGTACTTAACATAAGCCTTGGAGAAGCCACTATGTCACAGCTTCCCCAGACTAATTGCTGGGTTTAAGCAAGGCTATCCTGTGCACTGAAGGGGCCACTAGTGTCTCCTCTATGCACTTTCGCTGACGAAGCATGCTGGGACCTCAGAGGCCAGCTGAGAAGCGGAGATGAAAAATGGGTGAGCCTGCCCCAGCATCGGGATGAGTAGCATAGATTACAAGTGGGGTATTTTAACCCTGCAGGGAGAATGTGAGCAGGTGGCTGCGGTATCATTCCAGGTGAGCTGCCTGAGTTGGAGCCAGATCCCAAGCACCGGCTAAGGAATGGGTAGCAGGTGATTGACATGGAAAAACAAGAGTTGTGCAAGGAAGCTGAACCCCATCCAAATAAACTAGGTGCTGAGCAACTGTAGTCCTAGCAGAGAAATTAAATACACTGAGGAGACCAAGGAGAAAGAGTGATCCCAAGGGCTGAGCAAACCAGGAGGTTAGTGAAGAAAGGCTGCTGTTCGCCTGGTAGACAAGCACCCAGGGCCCTGTCCAGGCTCTCCAGAGGGCATCCCTAAGCAGGGAAACAATTCTGGGCCTCCTGCTGCGGGGTAGCCAGACTCCTAGAAACCTGCCAGACTTGGTCCTTGCTGACCAAAGAACCAGGTGGGACACAGTCTGAAGACTGAAAATTTTTCTTTTTAGCTATTGGGCAGGGTTGGGGAGGCGGGGACAGGTACCCAGAGTAATTCTGAGTTTCTACAACTCCATGGTCTGTGATCCCAGACTAAGGCTAAATGGCAGGTGAACAAGGTGCTCCACTCAGACCAGTTTCACAACAGCTTCCCGGGAAAACATTGTGCTGTCTTCATTCATAAGTGTTCTGGTGCTTGACTTTGAGGTGCTTTTGTGATTTTTCTTAAGTTAAGGAACAACACGATACATACATAAGAGCAATTCTGCTTTCAACGACACGTGAAATGAGAAAGAGCTAATCCTCCCCTATTCAAAATGCATTATGTGCCAAACCTGGTGGTTTCAAGCAATTACTTTGAAACTTTCTAATTGCAGACATAAGTTAGGCCTCCGTTCTCCCAGCCTCTCAAATTCAGTCGGGGTGGTCCTGGTTAAATGAATACATGAAAAACTTCCAGAAGAATTTGAAGCTTTACTTTAGTATAATAGCATTTATGGTAGCAAAAACATAAAATAACATAAAAAGATGGCCCTCTTATATTGTTTTTTGTAATTTATTATTTGCAATATTATTCACTTCACTCATCTTTTCAAGATGATTTATTGCAACTCTGCTCTGTCAGGGGCAGTGTCCTGCACACTAGGGATATATATGGCAGTAAAAAAGTAGATATTATTGGTTCCAGCTGTTTTATAGTTTTAAAGTCTATGGGAAGAATCAAATAAAAACAAGTTAACAAATAAGTCAGATAATTACAACTTGTAGCAGCACCATGATAAAAAAAAAAAAATGTAGGAGAAATCATGGCCTACTTTTGATGACAGAGGAAACCCGAGTAATGCGAAGGAGCAAGGCCAGGATCAGTCCAGGTGTGGGAACAATAAGCATAAGGGCTCTAAGGTAAGAAAGGATTTGGCATGTTCTAGGAACCCCAGGAGATCAGTGGGGCTTGGGGTGTCGTGGGGCAAGTAGGAGAACAGGGTGAGACTGAGGGGCAAGTAGCAGCCCAGTGAGGGCAGGGCCTTGTGGTTTGTGGTAGGGAATATGGGTGTTATTCAAGTATAAAGTCAAACTGCTGTGGAGTTTTAACCGGGAAGGTTACATAATCCTATTTACATTTTTAAAAGATCTTTCTGGCTCTCACGTGGAGAATAGAAGGGGTCAGAGTGGTTACCGGGGGATCAAACGCTGCCTGAGCAGGGTGCTACCGCGTCGTGCTCTGGGGTTTTCCTGAGGTTGGTGACATTAGAATTCTTGGACTCCAGGAAACCTGTCATTAATTTTTCTTCGCACCGCTTTTCCTCTCAATGCCCAAATCATTTCTCTTTTTGCCTGATGGATAATGGAAGAAAAGATGCCCGAGGCACTGTCTTTCAGGTGAGCCGCTCAGGCAGGGTGCCGGCCCTAACACTTTTTACAGGAATCCTGCATGTCATTTTCACTTTGCAAGTCGGTTGTATTCATGCCAACTACTAACTGTTCGTCAGCTTCGCTCTTGGTACACAGAAAGTATTCAGTGCATGTTTGTTGACTTGATTTGACTTGGATTCCCAGTGGTATGAGTAGAGGGGGAGACTTAGAAAGGCTGATGGGATCCTCCTTTGTCTTCTCTGGAGACTGTATGTGTCAGTGGGTTACCGTCACTCTTAAAAGAATTAGTGTTTTCGGTCTATGGTAGATGCAGTTCGGGGGTGAATAAAATGACTCTCTGCTAGAATGAAAGGTGCTGTGTACATGTGAAAAGTTTTTAAAGAGCATCTGGTTAGAGTTTAATGTGGCCGAAAACATCTCTATTTTTTTCATGTTTCAATTACGCAAATATGGCTAAAGTGTGCTTTGGAGATTTTCCAAAATAAAAACACTTGAGGTGAGAGAAATTTCAGCCCCAACAATAACTTGAAAATTGGAAGTTGGAATAGCAACTATTTTTTCAACTGTCTTAAGTCTGTCACCAACACTCTGATGATGTGATTACATGTGACAGGTCTGGTTTCTGGCCACTAAACTGCACACTTCAGCTATGGGCATCAGTCTTTCCCTTCTTTTCTCTAACCAGGAGTCAATTTGGGGGCAGAAATAAGAAGGATGGGAGAAAGCAAGAGGTTGTGGAGCCTTCCTTGGCATCCAGGTCAAAGCTGGTGACCCGGACCTTCTCAGTAGCCTCATGTGATTCAGAGCCTGTGGCAAACCAGTCACAGGGTACCACTGTTCCCTTCCTCACAGTACTCAGCATCCCCGTTGTTACTCATGTGCCTTTAGCTTGCTTGAACTTCAGGGACATCCCAGAAAGGGAATTTCTTCCCCAGATGGCAGAGGGCCACCTGAGATCAGTGTGGGAAGGGAAGAGATGGCACTCCTCAGTGAGGTCATGGACATGAAGCTCTTGGTGCAGTGCCTGGCGCAAAGCAGTCACTCAATGTATGGTGACAGCAGCTGCTGCCAGTGTCGTTTCAATTATTAATGAATGGTTTATAAATTGGTAATGGTGTATATGCGTCGTCTCACATTGTCAAGATACCAGCTTTCAGATCCACTGTTTCCACTGTTTCTCACTCTTGCCCATCCCTTGGGCATTCCTTAATGCCCTCTTTAAGTAAGGGGGCTGTTGTCCTAATTTATTCCTTGTGTTTTTGAGTCATTCCTGTTCACAGCACTCTCATTATTCCAACATCTCCCTCTGGAAATTGGCGTTTCTTCTTATTACCACTCTGAATGTCTTTGTTGGGGGAAGATAAGGCTTCAGAAGTTCAAAGGTACTCACCTTTACCACTCTAGCCACACTGTTCATGCCCTGGCTTCTTCCTCTTTCTCATACAATGGGTTGTTTTGTTACCATCTCACCGCTGTGCCTCTCATGATAGGACATAACTCAATTAATTTCTTCAGTCATCTTTTGCACTTTGCTAAAGAACTCTGAGATCTTGTTTCTCTGGAAAAGGAGGAGCTTGATACATCTGATCCCCCACTTAAAGAGGCAGGAAGTCATTTCACTTATGGGCCTGGGAGATGTATCTATTTATAGAAGAGAGGGGTTGCTATTACTCTGGCTGTTTGCTTCCTTCTATCTGTCCCCAAGCCCACCCTTGGAAGTCATGGCTGGGCATCTCTGTCAATGAAATAAATATTGTAATGGGTCAAGTAATTAGCAAGCAGAATTATGTTTAGGCTGTAACCTGACTCTAATTGCTGACCTCAGAGAATTAATTTCATATGACATAGCACCTTAGCAGTGTGCTGGCTTAGAAGTTTCCACCCGTCTCTCCCTTTCAGCCAGATTGCTTTTTCTATTTCTGGGCTTGTGTCGATGAGTCAGATGGCCCCAGACTCTTCCTGGGGATGGAAGAGGCATACCTGACTTGGATGTGTTTTCTGCATATATAAATTATAAAGAGGAAAAACTCTGTGTCTGTTCCTTGGCATAAAAGTAAGGGAAACTAGAGGGTTGAGTGAGGAAAGTATAAAATAGCCAATGTAAATAGAGCCTGGCCATGTGGCCCGAATGCAGCAAGATGTATAGCACAGAAAATGGCATTTGGGAATAATGGCCTTCTCTACTAAACAGTCATCAGGAACATAACATGTATATGGTCCTGTTAATTTTTGCCACCACATCCTAATCATGAAGTTAAAACATGTTACAAAGTGAGATAAAACATCTCTATGAAGACCTGTTTATTTCTGCAGCACGGTGGGTAGATTTTTGTCTCTCCCCCTTCAAGGGTGGAAGCAAGTGTGGAAATAGTCACCAGTCCCATCTCCCTGGGTTCTGAAACTATTTCAACAACTAATGAGTTCATTGGGGTCTAACCTGCTTTGATTTCCGTAAATGGAATTTGCTACAGGAGCTTGGAGACTGTTGTATACTGACAAAACTGTGAAAACCAGAATCACCTTCTCCCACCTCCCCACCCTCACCCCCAGCCCCCACCCCACCCCACCCCACCCGCAGAGTTCAGCTTTTTATTGAATGTTACAAAAGATGTTTCATCAAAAAGACGGAAACCCATGTCATCATCGGACTCCTCACTTTCTTCTTAGCTTCCACTTTCTTCTCAGCTGGGGCAGCAATGGTGGAAAGTACGGGACCTCCTCCTGGAGCCACACCAGCTGCTGGGCAGGTCCGCCAGCCCCTACCTTGCAGAGGAGGCTCCCCATATTGACATTGGCCAGAGCCTTTGCAAACAAACCTGGCCAGAAAGGTTCAACATTTACACCAGCTGCTTTAATGAAAGCATTGATCTTATCCTCAGTCACCGTCACCTCATCATCAAGCAGGATAAGGGCTGAGTAGGTGCAGGCAAGCTCCGAGAATCAGACGCCATGGTGTGAGCGAGTGCCAAGGCAAGCGCTGCCACGTCCAGTGCTAGTCCCCAGATGAAGCGAGGTTTTCACCCCAACGCAGCCTTAGCTTCCTCTGAAGGACCAGCACCTGACAAGCACCTGAGAAAAGGGGCCAGAGTCACCCTTTAGGCCTAGTTCAGAGCTGTTAAATTATCAAAGGGAGTTACTGTGTATCACGACCTGTGTTGTATTTATCAAAACCTTAAACTATTGTATTTCTGAGAAATTGATTGTTTAGTTGTTGTTTAAGCCTATAGCTACTCTGAATAGTGACAAGTTTTCTTTTTCACAGTGGCCACTGGAAACTTAGAATCAAGTTTGTACCTTGTCAATTACAAATATGTGTATATATATATATGGCATTATAACATCTTCATTGGAATTCTTTGATTGGTGTCCAGTCTAATTCTTAAGTTTCTTTCATATTTGCTCCCAATTTTACTTTGTGCTCTCTTTTGTTTATTTTTTGTAACCTTGTAAGCGAACTTAAATCCTTTCTAGAATAAGATGACCCATAGTTAACTAAGAGCTAGGTATTTTTAAAAACTGGAAGAAGAAAGTTGGACAGAGAGGGAGGGAAGGAACTAAGAAAACAAAGCCGGCAGGTGGGCTAAGTAAGAAAGGGTCA